TAGCAACGAAGAACACCCACGAGACACCACCAGACTACCAACGCATTACGGCATAAGGCTGCAATTCCGACTGAATCTAGAAATGCACTACAGCATATGGCAAGATGGCGTCGAGGCGTTCGAGAGATACTGGCTGCACAAACACATACTTGGAAAGATTGAAGAGGGACGAATTATACTCAACAAGCAGATCTAATACTACTGTATACATCAACGGCACGTAAAATTCAATAAACAATTAAATGTATGTTATTTTATGTTAATCACCTCCATTTTCATGTTGTGCTGTAAGAATTATTGTCATTGTTAACTATATATTGTTAAATAAATAAATAAATAAATAAATCTAAAAAAATCTATCCATCTATCTATCTATCTATCTATTAACAGCATCCTGGGTAAAATTTCAAATGGACGCATCATACTAAAGAATAACCTTTAAACACCAACATGTAATTAAAAAAATAAAAATAAAAAACTTAAGCCTCGATATATATAAGTACTATTATATTTAATATAAGCTGTTGTTAATTGTTATTGCTAATAAAATCATACCAGAAAAAAATCTATCAATTTATCTATCAGCCCGTAGCAAGGCCGCTACCTACACACACACAGAATAAAAAAAATATATCTATCTATCTATATATGGCTTTATAATGCTTTGCTGGACCTTGGATGCTTTTTCAGTTCCTTAATCCTATACACAGACGGTTGGACTCCTTGGACGGATGATTAGCCCGTCGCAAGGCCGCTACCTAACACACAACAACATAAACACAGAGTAAACGCACACAGACATCCATGCCTTGATTGGGGTTCGAACCCACGATCCCAATGTTCCAACTGGCGAAGGAAATTTATGCTTTAGAGCGCTCGGCCGCTCTGGTGGGCTTCGAATCTTACTAATGTGTAGAAATCAATGACGACATTACAGCAGTTGATTTTGAAAGGTTCTAACAAATGGCGTGTAGCACTCGGATTGCTGGGTTTCAGGACTTTGTCCATCGTGCAGTATTCTAAAGATCGCGACGTTTCGGATGCTGGATCTCTATCTGTCCTCAGGTGAGGGGATGGGAGACCCAACAGAGTAGGTGCTTCCCACCTCCTCACTTGAGGACAGATACAGATCCCATTTCCGAAATGTCATATTCTTTAGAATAGTGGACGATGGCCGAAGTCCTGAAACCCAGTAATCCGGAATATTACAGCAGGCCTACTCATTTTCGTTATTGGTCTCGCAAGGATAAGCTGAGAGCTTTAGGCACATCGTGCCTCGTTCGGTTCGGTTTACGAGGAAGTGTATTATCAAACAGAATCGTAAGAGGATACTTTACGTTGTGTCTACCTCAAGTAATTGTTTCTGTTGGTTAATTGGTTGAAATTTTGTGCTTAATTAAATGAAGCAAATTGTTTCTCAAATAAGGCAGGTCTGTTATGGAATTCAGTGTCTTCCTCTCTTCAGTCATTCAATTAGAGAATATTTCTTCTTGCGCGAACATTTTTATGTCACAGCTCCCCATCCAATTTCACGAACGAGCCCCAGGACATCGCTGAACTTCAACAAGGCTATTCCCTTTTATCTTTACGACTTTGACTTCTTTTGTTCTCTTTTTCCATGATCTTTGTTTTAGAAATTAGTAGACAAAGATGCTCCCTTGCTTGTAGTGTAGCCTACCCTCTCAACCAGGGGTGAATAAGTTATTTTTATAACGGGTTTTCACAGCACTCGGGGATCTTAACAGATCCGAATGGCGGATAGGAATCAGATAATCTACTAGGGACTCTGTGGTTTTCCTCAGTCTCTGATACAAATGCTTAGATACTTTTGTGAAGACTGCGGACTGATTTGTCAATCAGTATTTATTATTATTACTCTTGTCATGTGTTTTAGCGACTATAGACGGGTTCTTAATAGGTGAATAGATTTATTGACCATTTATTACTAGAAACTACAAACCAGTATAACACACTTACTTGCTTTCACGCTGCAGATCACTCCACACTGGACCTCATTCTGCTGACACTGGTCTTTAGTAACAACTTCCAACAATGGCTATTCCTTTACAATGTTTTCACTGACCGTTTCCTGGCAACGGATTATAACACGGGAACTATAACAATGACGCTTTAGGTATCGCAATACTACAGCACACATAAAGTCTTCAAATCACACATTAATTCTTCCCTTCACAGACCGACCTTCAAGTCTCATCTAACCTGCACTCAACTCCTGTGCTTCCAAGCTCATATCCAGGCCGGCTGGAGCTCGAAACCCGACTGACTCCGTTCTAATTCTCGTACTCCTTGCCGTACTCCGTTGTATCCTCATTCTCTTGACAACTTCTTGACCTCCCAACTCCAGTTCTCTAATCCCCATAGAAAACACCGTCTTCTTCTGTCGAGTATTGTAATTTAACAGTTTTCAGTTTTAAGCGCAGTGTCTTTCAAATGAGTTCTCGGGAAGGAGACAGCTACAGAGTTCAGTTTTGAGTTCAGCAGAGTGCAGTGAGTTCCAGAGTCATCGAACAAGAAATGACAGGAGGACTTATACTATTTAAAGTGGTGGTTTCAGTATTGAGATCCGTTGCCAGGATACGACTAGTGAAGAATGAGAAACCTAGGGCGTATACAACGATGAATGAATGAACTGCAAGTGTGTAGAATAGCGGTACCGTTATAATTTAGCGTGATTAAAATTACAGTAACTTAAGTACTAATGAATCTAATCAGCCTATCTAGAACCTGTTATTTTCGTCACACGCACCCCCAGTCACGTGACAATGTGTTTAGCCCTATATATTTATGATTTCTTTTTTAAAGTTGGAGATGCTTTTATGAACATTTCTTATTCTTCGATCCTAAAGAATGGAAATCTTTTTCTTGGTGATGTTTCTTGTAGAAGCTTGCATTAGAGGGTGAGGTTTGGAAATGGTGTAAATAAGACGCAAATCCACAAACACTCTGGCCGTCTGCGCACACCTGGACGCAGCTTCAGCTGCAAGCCTCAGGTATGGACTACTCAGGCGATAGCATCAGCCGAGGTGTTTTGGTGGCATGGCTTAGTGTCTTCTTGTCTGAATGTAAGGGATCGTCCTTATCGGCCTCACATCGGCCACTTCATCTGTTCCTCCTGAACCGATGGACGCGAGGAAACCTATACGCGTATGTTACAGGGCTAGTCACTGACAGGTTATTTTAAGTAAACAGAAAACTGTAACTGAGTCTAGTAAGGAGGTTGATCTAGAAGTGAACACAGAGAAAACTAATCATATGTTGCTGCCTCGGCACCAAAATGCAGGGCAAAATCAGGACATAAAAATAGGAAACAGATGTTTTGAAAATTCGGCACAGTTCAGATATTTGGGAACAACTATAACAAATCAAAACCTGGTTCAGGAGGAAATTAGGAGGAGATTGGACTCTGGTAATGCTTGTTAACATTCAGTCCAGAACCTTTTGTCTTCACGTCTGCTGTACAAAAACATAGACATTAAAAAACACGAAACTGTAATTTTGCCTGTCGTTCTACATGGGTATGAAATTTGGTCTCTAACATTAAGGGAAGAACACAGACTGAGGGTGTTTGAGAACAGGGTGTTGAGGAGAATATTTGGACCGAAGAGAGATGAAGTTACAGGAGGTTGGAGAAAACTGCATAATGAGGAGCTTCATAACTTGTACTCTTCTCCAAGCATAATTAGAATGATCAAGTCAAGGAGGATACGATGGGAAGGACACGTAGCACGAATGGGGTAGAAGAGGAATGCATATATGATATTGGTGGGAAAGCCAGAAGGAAAGA